GGGGGACACCAACATTCAGACCATAGCAGTCATCATAGGCCTTAATGGATTCTTACCAAAAGGGGTGACATGTCCATAGTTGAGGTTCGTAAGCCTCCTCGTCCCCTTTAAGTGCTCATGAAACGTGTCTCCTCATCCAAATCCCCCTTAGCATGGTCTCTGCCCCTCTCTTGTGGCCCTTACCACTTTCCACTTTGTGTTACATCTGTTTACATGTCTTTCCTTCCCTAGAGAATGTGAACTCTTCGAAAGTAAAAAATCATGCTTAGTACCTAGCACAGTGCCTTATACTCAGTATTTGTTGAATAAGTGAATGAATGTACAATTACATGTGTTTATTTAAAGAGGCATGAGCTGGTTGGTTAACTCATTTGGTTAAAGCAAGATGTTTTAACACCAAGGGCAAGGGTTCGTATCCCCTTACCATCCAGCTGAAATAAAATAAAGAGGCGTGTGTCAGTGTCTGCTTGAGACAGCAAAATTCATTTTTATCTCTGGGTTCAAATGATTTTAAAAGCTCAAGGATATTTGGCCATTTCTGCTATCTGACCAGTCTTGATTACACAAACCAAGGAGCACTAATTAATTTTTCATTCTCTTTGCCTCCTCTCAGAAATGGTGGTACTCAACCTCTGAGTTAACAGTAGACCAATGGCTTCAAACAACCTTGAGTCTCCCATCATGGGACCAAATCGTTTCAGGCAAGGTAAACATTCAGGATATTCAAAAAAACAAGTTCCTGATGAGAGTTAATATCCTGGACAATCCTTTCTAACATTTCATGAAAAGAACAAAGATTTAGTAAGATCCAGCCCCTTGTGATGATCTATTATTGACCTTTCTCTGCAGCCAGCACCCTCCAGGTCCCTGTCTACGCTCTTCTGTTCTGCACACAGAACCAGATGTGTTTAATTTCTTCTCTTTCTGGGGTGTTAAAAAGGGTCAGCAGTATCTTGCTTTATTTTCTTGTCACTTCACACAAATTGCCTTTACCTTTCATATTGTTTTAGCTTGACCTGTTTATTTTAGCCAGTGTGAAATTGTGTCATATGGGAAAATACTAATATCAGGGTAGTGTAACATCTTGTGTTATGACAGACATGTTTCCAGTTAATGTATTCAACTAAAAATGCTTGTTTTATAATGTCTAGTTGTTAAATCTTTTGGAGATAGCACATTATTATAAATAGCAAGCTTTTGTCATGGTTTGTAAGGACAAGATTCAAAAAGACACATCTTTTGTAGTGCCTGATGCAGCTTTCAAAGCCAGGGTGATGTCCCAGCCCCTCTAACCACATACATTAAATATCTGTAGAAATAAAATTTTTAAAAATTGAAATATTAATAATTTCCATGTGTATCTTTTACATCCTTAGAGTTTTTACGTACTTTTTTTTTATATTTAAGAAATGATACTGGGTGGGAACATGGGGTACAATCATAATTTGTGGTAATGGGCATGCTGCCAGTATGGATCTGTCCTTCACATCTTGGGCATGAGGGGTGACAATCAGCTTTGTATCTCATGAATATTGATAACTAATTAAAAATAAATAAATAAATAAGAAATCATACCATTCATCTTTATTTCCTAGATGTAAAGGCAAGGCTGTGTATTTTTCCTTCTGATAATATAACTGAGTTCTACAAAGGAGGTTGGATAGACCCAGATGGTACCATAAGGTTAGCCACAGAGGCCTGGTGGCCTGGCACAGTGAGAAGGGGAGCACCAGGCTGGGAAATCAGAGCATTTGGTTCTAACATGAGCTCTGCCACAAGCACACTTTATTCTGTGAGCTCAGACATAACCTTCCTATTTTAGTACATGGTTACAAGTATCAAAAAGGAAAGTGAAGGTAAAAAAAAAAAACCATAGAAAATTACAGTGTGACATATAAGGAAAAACAAATTAGTGTTAGAAAGATGATTGACTTTAAAATAAACACATCAAATATTAAACTTCGAGTAAGTATTATTTCCTTCAAAGTTGTCACCTGGAAGCTGCATACTTGTCCCATAATGCTACATTCATCTTATTCATTCTTTTGTTCACTCATCCAACTAACATTTTCTGACTAATTACCACGTACTGAGCACTGATTAAGTACTGGAGATTAAGACACAATTCTCAACCTCAGCAAACTTGTAGATCTAGTGAGGTAAACAGACACACAAGTAGCCTTCACTTGGCCCATTTCACTGTGATATCACAGAGTTGTATTCAAGTCACACAGAGCATGGTGGGAAAAACGGCCCAGAGGAACCCCAGACATTTCGAAGACTTGCTGAACTGCCTCTGGAACTAGGTCATTTTGATTACACTGTCATATGAATAATAAGATAATGCCATCATCATAACAATTTCTTACGTCTGTACGAGTCTTCACAGCTGCAAAGAGTTTGGGGGCTTAGAGTTGGTATGTATTTTTATTTTTTTTATCTTCTCCCTGAAAATTCTGAGAGGTGAGAATAGCAGGGGCTGTGACTTGCTTGAGAACTAGAACTTAAATCCAGAAATCATCTCCCCTTGACCCAGCACATTCAAATCCAGTCTTCTGGCTCTCAGTCTGGGCTCCTGAAAATCATCAGGAAACTCAGCCCTTTCAGTCTTAAAAAGCTTTGACCATCCAAACATTTGAATTCTCTTTAACTACCATAAAATGGACCTAGTTCTACCCTTTAGAATCACACAGAACACCGTAAGCTTCTTGCTCACGACACCTTCAAACCCTTGAACACACCTCTCATGGTTCTCTGAGCCTTTTCTTCTCCAAGCTTAATTTCTCCAGTTCCTTCTACTTCTCCTAACTTCACTTGGTTTTGAGTTCCCTCAGCATCCTAGTGGCCCTTCTCTGAATATGCTCAAATTGATCTCCATTTCTTTACAATATGAATTACAGAATGGCCAGTCTTGAACAGAAGGGGCCTCTCACTCCTCTTCTTCTGCCTAAAACAGTCCTGTTAAAACCCTTATGCTTTTTTTGGCAGCCAGTTTTAGAGTCCCTGTGGCCATTATCAATTGACTGGAAGATAATCCCAAGTTGGCTACTTATTACCTGTGCCTTAGTTTCCTCATCTGTAAATGTAAATAATAATAGTCTGCACCTCATGGAGTTTTTTGTTTGCTTGTTTGTTTGTCTTGAGGATTACACGAGTTAATAAAGAATGTGTAGTTTAAAACACTGCCTGGTATACAGAGGAGATCAATAAGTGTTAGCTCTTAATACTATCACATATATTGTAACAAGTTCCCCCCATCCTGTACTAATACAGTTTGTTTTTCTTCTTTAAAGAGAACAGATGGTGCAGAGCAGATGCAGAGAAGCCCACTGTAGTCTGCTATTAGCAAGTGAGAGCAGTAAACAAATATCAAATATGTATGTAAATGCTGATGGGCAAAGGAAGTCGGCCTTTTGGACCTCTCTCTCTGGGTGGTGGCCTTTATCGCTAGTATACACCTGCCTTATTATGGTATACTCTTTCCTTCTCTTTAAATGTTCTACACCTGTATTAGGCCTTCCTGGTTGTAACTGCAGGTAGTGATAACGATAGCATCAAATAATTTCCTTAGAGTTTAGCATCTTCAGTTCGTTGCTTTGCTTGGTTGAACGTAGATTCAGGGGACAGTACTCTGGGGTTCTGCCCTCACCATCTTAGCCTGTTTTAAACTCAGCTGTCCAACAGCTGCTCCTTAGCCTGAGTCTTAGCCTACCCCAGCGTCCTTTGTGAGCTGCAGGCAAGTGCTCAGATTTTCTGTAGCTCAACAATACCAGGCTTTGCCGTGATTTTGGTTCTACGGGTAGATAGTGCTAATGAGTTTGAGGATTTCTTAAATTAATAGTTTATCTTCCAAATTACTAAAAAACTAAAGCATACCACACATCTATTAGAATGGCCAAAATCCAAAATACCACCAAATTTGTTGGTGAGAATGGGGAGCAGCAGGAACTCTCATCCCCTGCTGGTGGGGATGCAAAGTGGTACAGCCACTTAGGAAGACAGATTGGCAGTTTCTTACAAAACTAAACATACTCTGGCCATATGATCCGGCGATCATACTCCTTGGTATTTACCCAAGGGAGTTAAAAATTTATATCCACACAAAAACCTGCACACAGATATTTATAGCAGCTTTATTTATAATTGCCAAAATTTGAAAGCAACCAAGATGTCCTTCTGCAGGTGAATGGGTAAACCAACTGTGGTACATCCAGACAGTGGAATTATTCAGTGCTAAAAAGAAATGAGCTATCAAGCCATAAAAAGACATGGTGGAAACTTAAATGCATATTATTTAGTGAAAGAAGCCAGTCTGAAAAAGCTACACGCTGTATGATTCTAACTATATGACATTCTGGGAAGGGAAAAACTATGGAGATGGTAAAAGATTAGAGGCTGCCAGGATTTGGGGGAAGGGAGGAATAAATAGAAGGAGAACAGAGGATTTTTAGGGCATAGAAACTATGCTGAACAACTCCATAAATGTGGATATATGTTATCATACCCATAGAATTTCCAAACCCATAGAATGTATAACAGCAAGAGTGATCCTTAATGTAAACTATAGACTTTGGGTGATAATAATGTGCTAATGTAGGTTTATCAATTGTAACAAATGTACCACTCTGGTAGGGGACATTGATAGTGGAGGAGGTTGTATATGTGTGGCATCGGGGGTACATGGGAACTCTCTGTACCTTCTTAAATTTTGCTGTAAACCTCAAACTGCTCTAACAGATAGTTTATTAATTAAAAACAAAAACAAAACCTGAAAGCATATGTCAGCCAGCTCCCTCTCCCTCCACAGAGCTAGACAGGCTGCCCCACTCCCCAGTCATTAGCCAACTGCTTCCTCCTTAGTCCTTCCCAGCACAGGAAACAGCACCGTTATTCAAAATCTAGTGATCCTTGATTCTCCTGTTTCTTCAATACATCAGCAATCCAGGTAACCTCGGAGTACATCTAGAGTATAACCATTTCACATCATCTCCCCCACTGCCACCTTAGATGAGGCCATCATAATTTCTCACCGGGGCTACTGCAGTAGACCAGGTAACTGGTTCTTCGGCTTCCACTCTCGCTCTCTCTGAAACGTTCTCCATACAGAAGGCAGAGTCAACCTGTAAATTATATCGTGTCATACTCCCTGCTTAAAATCCTCCAATGTCTTTCCACTGCACTTACTAGAATAAGACAAGACCAATGCAATCTGGCCACTGCCTACCTCTCTAACCTCTTCTCCTACCACTCTCCCCTGGCCTCAAAATGCTCTTTTACTCTAACCTGCTGGGCATCTTTAAAAGAAATGAAAAGTTTTTCTTTTGTTTCTGCCCTCTTGCTGGGCTTCCACTACTTCACCTATTGGGAAAAAAAAAGAAAGAAAAGAAGAGTTGGGTTAAACATTCTCCAATGACCACCTTTAAGAGATAATCTATACAAAAAAAAAAAAAAAAGAAAGAAAGAAAAGAAAAGAAAAGAAAAAAGAATTCCTATCACCTTAATCCATAAAGTTCTTTTACCTACTGCTACTTGGGGCCCTGGGCTGGCTCAGGTAGACCAAATCATCTGAGGACGTCCATTTGGGTCTTGGGGTCTCCCAATTGCTGTTCACCAACAGAGGCAAAGTAAAGGGCCTTCCTCCTAAAGAGCTCTCCCTCTCTGGCAGTGGGTGGAGGACAAGTGTGGGTGAAGATAAGTGGGTGCATAAGAGGGAGTG